ACATTGTATATCTATGGGAAAACATAGATAATTATATTTTTGGTGAGTGACATACTCCTATTTATTGTCCTGACATCATTTTTTACGTAGTTGGGTATCTGGCGCTCAGAATTTTATTATCATCATGACTGTGCCTTTTCAAGGCTAATTTTCACATTTTCTTATCAAGAACAATGAATCATGAATGAATGTGGAGACGAAATACCGATATGAATACCAAACATTATTTTTCATTATTAATATAACCATATTTTCACTAATATAACAATTTTTTATATCTCCTTAGAAATCTATATGGGTTGCGATGAGAACGCTCAATGTCGAATTTAATTTCCATTTTTTTAAATTAAAGTAATACATTCAGGATGACTGATGTAGAAGAAACAACGTCATCAGTATTCTTTTAAGGGCATCTCCATTTTACGGGACCACTGAATTCAACGCACGCACTGTATACAAACCTTATGTGTGATGTTTCTCTGAATTCACCTTCCCATGGAGATTACAAAAATTGATTCTGTTGTTCTATTTGAAAAAAAATTCGCGAATGTGATCATAATTCAAACGTGGATCACCTTGTATATTGAATTAACTCTGATAAATATGGAAAATGGAGATATATGGAATCGTACAACTTCTTCTTACATGAAGTTTTTTCCACCTTGTATAGTTAAAGCCGTAGGTGAGGGTCAAAATATGAGGAGACACGTTGTACTGAAATACACACACTACTATAAGTCGTACCGTATACAGGGTAAGTCATAACACTCATTTTTGCAACAATACTGTAGTGCATGCCAAATTACCTATTATTATTTTATTATAAAAATTAGGTGTCTTTTACATGGCATGCAGTTTGGAATCACGGAAAACCTGAAAATGAAATTTTAATTTTTCAGTTGATGGTCCGAGATAGGTTAAAGTTCTATATAATTATAATTTTCGATGGTAGGATAACCTTCTTGAATAGCTTTATTATGAAGTTTTTTAGAAAGAATACTGTCCATCAAATTAACGTTGTATCCGTTGTTGACTGCAATCTGTTTTATGATATTGTGTTCTTCATTGAAATTTACTTCTGAATGAGGAACATTCACTAGCCTGTGTATCATACTATTTTATGCTGCAATTTTATGTTGATGAGAGTTGTTGAATCATTATGAATAGTGATATCAGCGTGGGAAGGGTTATGGAAAATTGAAAAATCATGTTTATCATTAATTTTACTTACTGTCAAAACTGAGAAATTGATTGACTTTTCTGTTTCTATTTCCATTGTGAATTTTATGTTTGAATGAAAAGAATTAATATATTGGTGAAAAGTGTCTAATTGTCTATTGGTTCCTTTAAAGCATACTATACAGTCTGTCCAAGATAAGGTTGCACAGCATGGGGATCTCGGAAACGGTAGGAGATACGAAATCGGTTAAATGGGGAAAAAGTTGCGCATTCGGAGGCTCATACCAACAGCCTTCGAAAATTTTCAAAATTTTGGAATATCTATTTTATTTTTTTTCTCCGTTATAATAAGAGATACAGAAAAACTGAAAATACTTTTTCGTAGCAACTTTTGATGACGTTTAACGTGGTGATACCGACTTTTCTATGCGACGTTTCGTATTCGTAGAACCATCACCAACTTTTGTTTTCCAAATACGGTCCTGATAATTCTTTCACAGATTCTGAAAGCTTTTTTTATTCTGAATTCAACCATGTATTATACAAGGTGGTTTGAATGTGTTTCGAACTATTATTAGCCATCATCAATGTTTTTTTCGAAATTCCAAAGGAAAAATGCCATCAGTTTCACTTGTTTCTGATTATTCAGTGTCAAACATTGATGGACTAGTTATTCAATACTGAAAAGTGAAAAAAAATCCACCAAATTATTCAATGCAGCGCTTCGAATTGTTTATGAATTGTATTCATATTTTAATCCGAAGGAGCTTGTCATAATTAAATTTTTCGAACTAATTATTCCTATAAGTCTATCAATCGGAACTAGTTGATGAGGTATTAGTTTGTTGGCTAATTTTCCTTCAAAATAAGTGGAACTGATGGCATTTTTCCTTTGGAATTTCGAAAAAAACATTGATGATGGCTAAAAATAGTTCGAAACACATTCAAACCACCTTGTATAATACATGGTTGAATTCAAAATGAAAAAAGCTTTCAGAATCTGTGAAAGAATTATCAGGACCGTATTTGAAAAACAAAAGTTGGTGATGGTTCTACGAATACGAAACGTCGCATAGAAAAATCGGTATCACCACGTTAAACGTCATCAAAAGTTGCTATGAAAAAGTATTTTCAGTTTTTCTGTATCTCTAATTATAACGGAGAAAAAAAATAAAATAGATATTCCAAAATTTCACTTTTTTCGATATAACTGGAAAACTCAAAACAATTTTGGAAATTTTCGAAGGCTGTTGGTATGAGCCTCCGAATGCGCAACTTTTTCCCCATTTAACCGACTTCGTATCTCCTACCGTTTCCGAGATCCCCATGCTGTGCAACCTTATCTTGGACAGACTGTATATAACGTCATCTACGTATTTATACCAATAAAAAAAATGTTTTATCACTGGATGTTTATGTATTATTCGCTCCAATTTATCCATGACAATTCAATTCATGTATGAAAAATCCCACAAGCCGCGTGATTTTGTCATTATGACAGCGAAAAAGGTTTGTCCTAACTTTTGAAAGCATGACAACCAACCACAATAAAATGTTCGATGAAGTGAATTGTCTTACCGAATTACACTATAGCTTTTCTTTTTAGTCGAAGTAAACTTGGCATTTATAATTCGAATTTTGTTGCCATTAGGTAATTCAACTCAAAAACTGCCAGAAAAAATTACTCGTCCTACGAACTCGTAATTTTTTCAGAGGCAGTTTTTTTCGTCAAATTGCAGGCAACAAAATTGTCAAGTTTACTTCGACAAAAAAATGCTGTCGTGTAATTATTATAGGTGAGAATTTCAGCAAGGGCTCAGTGGATTTCAGATAATCAACCCTTTTGACGCGGAATATATTTTGTTGTCAAATTCAAAGAAATTTTGTTTGGGACATATCGACAGAAGGTCTAAAATGTCTTGCTCAGTAATCGGATTAATATGGTTTTTATCTATTTTTTTGATGAAATGCTCAGTATACTATATATGAATTAAATACATGATGTCTCATTTCTTAATGAGACAATTTTTCCCATGTGATAATTTAATATTGTTAAGTAATTATTGATCTATGTACAGTGTGTCCAGTTTTCGACGCTTTTGCCTGATATCTCAGTTATCTTTGGAGATAGAACCTTGCGGTTTTCGCGGTCCTGTGCTACTTTTTTGTGAAACGCAAGATGGCCTAATCAGATTTTGCAAGACTGTTTCCGTTTATGAGATACAGGGCGATTTTGAAAATTTATACTTTTTGGACCCCCTCTATATCCACGAAGTTTCTCAACAAAAATGTCAAATCAAAATCTTATCGCATACAGAATTTCACGCATAATCCAGTGGCGCACTTAAATTTTTTTTCGGGGTAGGGTTTTGGAGATACGACTCAAACTTATGATCTTTTAAATGGAACACCCTGTATTTCATAAGCTCATTGAATTCCTCATTTTTTGTCTTCAAAATGATATATAACGAATGAATATAAAATTCTCAAAATTGCTCAAAATCACTAAAATATTGAATTTTGATAGTTGGATGGATGGATTTTTCCTATGAAAAACGTTCCAATTGAAGAAATATTTCTTTAAATTTTTCCATGGAGAGGTCAAAACCAATATCAACACTTATTAATTAACAAAACACTCAACTTGGGTACCTGATAGCAACAAATAAATAGTAATAAAAAGTTCATAATGTAGAATAAATATTTACTAAAATAATTGAATTCCGGAATTATTCAGTAACTTATTTATTGACATGTTCAAATTGATATCCATTTTCCCCAACATACAGTTGATTAACTTTCTCAATGCTTCTTAATACAGTGAGTGGCCCAACATATTTGAAGAACTTTGTGCAACAACAGAGGCAGTTTTCCAGGAATTACAAAGACATCTTTCAATGATTAATATGTATTGAGAAAGTTTGTGATGAAAAATGGACATCAATTTGAACAATTCAATGAATGAATCACTGAATAATTTCGAAATTCAATTGTTTTAGTAAATATTCAATCAGGTGCTTATTCTACATTATAAACTTTTCATTACTATATATTTGTGGATATCAGGTATCTGAGTCTTGTGTATTGCAAGTTAATTAGTGTTGAAATTGTTATTTCCCCCTTCATGGAACAATCAAAGGAAATATTCCTTCAATTGTAAATTTCTTTATATGAAAATCCCTCGAAAAACCCATAACCCACTATTGAAATTCAATGTTTTAGTGATTTTTTAACATTTTTGAAGATGTTATATTCATACATCATATATCATTTCGAAAATTTAAAAAATCATAAGTTTGAGTCGTATTTTCATAACCACACCCCGAAAAAAAAAATTTTGAACGCCACTGAATTCTGCATAAAATTCTCCATGGGTTAAGATTTTAATTTGACATTTTCGCTGATAAACTTCGTATATTTAGAGGGGGTCCAAAAAGTATAAATTTTCAAAATCGCCCTGTATCTCATAAACGGAAACAGTCCTGCAAAATCTGATGAGGCCATCTTGGGTTTCACAAGAAAGTGGCACAGGACCGCGAAAACCGCAAGGTTCTATCTCCAAAGATAACTGAGATATCATGCAAAAGCATCGAAAACTGGACACACTGTACATTTGTTTTTTATCCTCACTACAAGGTTTACTTCGGAAGGTTTTTCCCAGTTTATTCAAAATACCTATCGATATTTTCCAATTTATATTTTGTAAACGTTTTTGAATACACTAAACTTATATTATTATTATTATCGAAAAGTACAAAATCTAATGGTAATAGTACCAGCACTGGCAACTCCGGACCATTCCAATTTCCAATAACGAATTCTCATAATTCGTTTCCGAACGGTGGAGGTATACAAAGGTCGGAATAAATTTCGGGGGCCCCCCGGTCCCAAAGCGGGCCCCCCAATCGAGACGACGGCACAGGCTCGCACCTAAAATTGCCTTCCCCCCACTCCCCCCCTCCTATCGCCATGTGCGATAATAATTCGGCGATTCGCAACTATCAAATTCGCACATCGACAAAGACAAGAGTGTGTGTGAGAGAGAGAGAGAGAAAGAGAAAGAATGATCGAGGTCAACGGACGAGGCATTCAGTTTACATGTACTACATACAGTGTGTCCCAGCTAAAACTTGTCACACCAATTATCTCCGGAGTCGTTAAAAAATTTGAAAATCGCTCGGAAAAGTCGATTTTAATTTGGCGGGCGAGACATTTTTTCAGTGGCGTATACAGGGGGAGGGGGCAAGGGGGCAATTGCCTTTCCTCCCATAAAAATTCTGGATGTCTGAATATTTTAATCAAGTACTAAATTTAAGCAACTATGTCAGTTTCTATCAGGAAGACTTTGAAACTATTGAAAAGGAATATTTTCAGATAATCAGATATATTTATGAACAAAAAAATGGATATATATATATATATAAAGAAATACACTGAGAATTCGCATTCTCCATGTGATGAAAACATCAATTATTCCTTGTTTCATTCAACAGAAAACAATTACTTCCCTGGCTATATGCCACGACGAACATTGAATTATATCTATTGAACAGACACGATAAGAATTTTAAATAAAAATTTTCTGAAGTAGAGAATTTGCATTCTCCTTCATATAAAGATATGCATATATCATTCTGAATATTCAACAGAAAACAACTACTTTCCTGGCTATTGGCCACGTCGAACATTGAATTATATCTGTTGAATATCCAAAAATAGAGCATGAAAAATCAAAATCCTCTGAAATTGAGAAGTGACATTATCTCTCAAATCGAATAGAATAATATGATGTTTCATGATATGAAAATATGACTCACCAATATGTTCAGTATTGGAATGAAAATTGAAATGTATAGGAGAAGTATACTTGTATGAACTCTGATCTTGATGAGCTTGGAAAAAAATCATTTGTATCATTTCAGAATTTCTTTCCACATCCTGTATGATGAATATCAATTTATCATACATCAAACTTTGAAACTAATTCATATCCGGTTCAGGAAGGAGAATTCAAGCTATGGTGCAATATGTTTGTCATTTTTCTGGTAGAAGCATCTCAAAATACAACTTTCTTGCCTCTAAGAAAAAAATTATGGTACAACAATCAAACTTTTGATCAATAAAATCAGGTGAATATCAATAGAAAACAAAGCAACCTATTAAAGGAATTGCTCAAATTGCTGTGAAAATTTGAGAAAATCTACTTTCTGCTATTTTTTTGCAAAAAACTTATGGACTTGCCCCGTAGGCACGCCCCTGAAAATACTTCATCAACTGTAATAGGTCCAAAAGATACCTCATTGATATTTCCACAATCGATGTGAATTTCATCACAATCGGTTATAGCGTTTTCTAGAAATCAATAAAAATCGATTTTTTAAAGAAGCTGAAACACCCGATATCTCGAAAACGAAGCGTTTAAAAGTATATGCTCATAGGTAGTTTTTTAATATTTCAACGACTACTATACGCTTTTCAATTTTCTGAATCAAAAAACGGACCACCCTGTATAGATTATTACCCGTCTGAAAAGCCCATTTTCATGAGTATTTATTCAAACCAAACCTGAAATTTCATCACGGGGTTGAGCATAATACATACCTTACATAAATATTTAAGCTATATAGATGGTCGGAAGAATAGCAGCATTAGGTAAGAGAATATTCTGTCAATAGTGTCAATTGAGATGAATGCAAAGGAATTATCCTGTCAATTCATCATTCATCATGTGCCCCAATTTTTCTGAATTTATGCGTTCAATTTAAGAATATCTCTGTATATGTTCAAAGTTATATAGTGTGGTGAAAATTCTACATCGATCAAGACGTCAAAATTCATCCAATTAATGAGTAGAACACCCTGTATTCAAAACCTTCATATATTTTCAGTGAGCAGCGAATTTTTGTGTGATAAAGGATTCATATCGTGTATACCTTGAGTAAAAACCGATTGAACTTTCAAGGTCGATTTTTTTTTCATGTAACCATATTTCATGTAAATGCTACAGTGACTTTATAACATAATACTATCGCCATCTATGAACGAGAAGACCAAAACCAACTGAAACAATAACAGAGGTCTTCATACTGCATGCTGAACAGAAACAGAAATAAGCTGATCGACAAATGAAATGGCACACCACAATATTTCACCCTGTTGCAAATTTCAAAATCAAATACTCAAATATTCTGAAACGGTTTTTTCCATGGGGCAAGTTATTGGGAGTGATGGGTATTTTTAATCTACTCATATTCTTTCCCCCCATTTCGTTTCTTCTTTCTATTTCATTTTCAATCCATTATTCTTCTTCCTTTTCTTACTCTTCTTAACCTTTCCGGTATCAATATGAAGTGATTACCTTCTTTTCTTTTTCCTTTTCGATCTTTCACTACTGTTTTGCTTTCCTTCCTCTTCTATTTTCACAAGCTTTTCTTTACATACAGGATGATATTTTGAAAACTTCCCACCAACAATATTTTCCTTCCAGTAAGAAATATGAAAAATCGAAAAGACAGGTCAATTTTATTTTCAAGAGGGATACTAGAAATTGATATTTTTAGCCCTATTGGTTCAATCTCCTAGGAAGGGGAGATGTTACCCTTAGAACCTCAAATAGGAAGGGGGGAGGAGTCAAGTGGTATATCATTTTGAAGGGCATTTAATTCTGTTTTCAACAGTATACTAGTTTATAGTTTTCTGTTCAGCAGTTTTCGAAAAATGACGTGTCAATTAGAAAACGTCCCACCCTTGATAACTCCGATTTTCCATATTATTTACTGGAAGGAAGATATTGAATGTCACCCTGTATGTATGTACTTCATTGTTATGTAGGTACATACCAACTGGCCATCGACCTTACGAGAGGTCTTTCAGCCCATGTGTGTTCTGTGTAGGCTTTGTTACCTACTAACTCCATACGCCACCTAAGGAGAAGCACTGTCCATAATTGGAACACAACAGCGAATCGTGCGGAATCATCTCCGGCCAAGGTTTTTTCATTTTCAATCTCTTGGAGCGCACGAAAGGAAATTTGTAACTCGTTTTATAAATAAAAATTCTCTGCTTTACCGGGGATTCGAACCTAGCAACCTTTAGGTATGTAATCAAATTTTGAAATTTAAATCTGTCACACTTCTAATCGTTAGATATTTTATATTCAGCAGGTGTACATAATTCTCGTGACGCATAATGAAATTTTCGTTACAAAAAACAAACAAAATGGCGGATTTCCCTATGGCGGATGACTTTTAATTGTGATCTGGTTCTATTCAAAATTCTTATCTTGGGGTTTTTGGGGTCGGCAATTATGATTCTTATGTCAAATTGGAAAATTCAAGGTGGCGTCTCCAATATGGAGGACGAGTTTAGTAATTATGATCCGATTCTATTAAATAATTTGTATCTGGGGGGTTTTCGTGGCCGGAGATTATGATTTTTCGTCAAAATTGGGAAATACAAGATGGCCGATCCAATGTGGCGAACGAGTTTTGTAGTTATGATCCGATCCTATTCAAAATTGTTTAGTGGGGGGCTCTTTTTGTCGGATATTTTTACAATTAAAAGATTTTATTCAGTTTCACCTGTACCAGTGTCTCTGTCAGAGGGTGTTTTTGTATGTGTAGTGCAGTTTTATGAAATTTTGCCGTTAAAAATGTTTTTTATAAAAGCTTGTTGCTCTTTCCAGTCGTTTCTGTATCAATTGCTTGTTTTTTGACATTGACGCATTGACGGATTTAACAAGGTGACGTTAATTTCAGCTGTCGCCCTGTGTCATGTGTGCTTTTTGCCACCAGTCTACCACACTAATTTCTGCTTTGAGGTTACCATGTACTTTCCTTGTATTATGAGAAAGTATCCCCCATTTGGGGTACACGAATCCCCTGTGAGAAAGATTTCCATCCATATCATGTTTTATATGTTTAATGTGATCCTCACACTTTGATGTTCCTTGTAGTTCAATATTTGCTGATGATGGACCTATACAAGGCCGAAACATGTACTATGTAAAATTGCGGAGATGATTTTGTTCTTACTTGCTTATGCTTGCTTCCACTCCTTGATTACTAGAGTGAATACTCAATGTTCCACTACACTTGTAGTTCAAATAATCATGGAAAAATGTTGAAGAAACCTTTATAGTTCAATTATGAAGGTAGTTTCCTTTCCTTCATATTCAAGCAAAAATTCATGGAAAGTAGTGAAGCTGTAATACCAAAAACCACAAGAAATCTTCTTTTATATTTTCATGGCAGTTCTCTTCAATGTATTTTCCATTGAAGACGTGAGATGGCGCTTCCACAAAATACACTAGATTACCTAAATGCTGAGCCAGTGGAGAAATAATAGACTACTCCACAAAGTTTAGGAAATAAAATCCACGAAATTGTTGATATCACTTCTGAATACAAATTTATACACAGAATGATCGCAATTTTCGCAAAAAAAATCTAAAAACCTTACCTTGCTGAAGTATCCCACTGTGTGGCAACCGTCGTTGTCTACCATGGTCATAACGTAAAACAAAAAAGGTTCTACGTCATAATAGAGGGTTTTGTGGTCCAGGAAGAATTTGGCCAGTAAACACAAATTCTGACAGTACTGCTTGTACCTGCAGAAAAATAGGATTTCAAGATTATTGTTTCCTAGGAGTTCATATCATTCCAGAAAAACTTCAGTTTCAAATGGTTTCAGTTTGCCTGACACCAGAAATCTATAGAGTTGCTCAACAAAACAGAACCATATTGTTAATTAATTAGATAAATGACCATCCAACTACCTAATAAAAATTGTATACAGGGTGTTCCGTTGGGAAACGGAAATACTTCAACGGTGGATAGAAGTCACCAAGGTGGTTCTGAAAATACCATACATGTTGGGTCTAACATACATGTTGGGTTTCATTATCGAGATATAGGGTGTTTTATCAATTCTGGTCATTTCTATGAAGGCTCATAGCATACGAACCACCTGGTATATTTTTCCAATATTTGGTAGACGTGTTTTCCCATTGCTGCCCCAGCGACTTGTATATCCGTTAGAAAAAAATTCCAGGCCCGGATTAACAAAAATTCAACATATTATTGGGTCCTCGAAAAAACACCCTGTATGTTTGAATTTACAAAATCTGCTTACATATCTGAAGATAGCACAAAATGTTGAATGGATTTATGCACTGCTAATGTTTCCGCATGCTATTTTACTGATCATTCGATCAGGATAGTGATTGGTACAGATGCCGTTCGATAAAATACCAAACAAATATCATTTCATCATCAGATGACAGTCGAAATAATTATGAAATTGAAAGCATCAGTGTGAAGACTAAGGAAATAAATCAACGTTCCATGCCCATGTGTATTCTGTGTAGGCTTTGTTACTAACCCCATTTTTCAAAAACACCTGAGAATAAATTTACGAAAAAAACCCACCTCTTTCCGTCCACCTCCCACACGCTGATCTTATCCTTGCGGTACACCTCCTCTCCAGGCGGGTGCCGCCACACGCATTTTACCACGTGCCGATCCAGGATCGTTTGCGATTTCATGTAGCGCAAACAGAACTCGCAAATGTACAATTTGGGCAGGCGTGCGTAATCTTCCGGGTAGGGACTCTGGTACCACACTTCCATGTCGAATTTGCCCATCTCTATGTATTTCGTACCTAACGAGAACACAGTGATTACCTACCTGTTTTAGCCACGAAGGTAATGACAATGTTAGTGGTGATACTAGTAGTAGTAGACTAGTACTAGTAGAGTAGTTTAGTGACCCTACCGGTAGGAAAACCAGCAATTTTATTTTCTAGTACGGAGAAGTAACTTTTCTCACTAGAGAAAAACCTAACTTTTCTCACTAGCATAGAAAACCGAAACTTTTGTCACGAGTGCGGGAAAGAAGTGCATTTCTCACTAGTGCGAAAAATATAAGCTTTCCCCACTAGTGCATAAAATAGCTGCTTTCCCCACTAGTGCAGATAATAATTACTTTTCTCACCAGGGCGGTAAATAAAAAACGACGCTAGTGCAGAGTAATATTCCTTATCGATTGTATTGAAAAATTGCAGTATTTCTAGCATACCATGCGAAAAATGAGAAATATCCCGAATTCACCACAGAACTCAAGTGGAATTCACGCCCAAAGCCTCCTGAGTATGCCCAAGTCAAAGATGTCATTACTGAGCTTCCCATCCCTAGATGATGAAAGTATTGTTTGCAACAAATGGCAAAAATTGAGTTGTTCTTCCACTATTAGGTAATAGAATAATCATTTCCTCTACAGTCATCAATTTTTTTGGTATAATGAATTACAGTAATAGCGGTGTGTGAAAATAGACACTTTCCTCACTAGTGTAGAAAACAGGTACTTTTCTCACTAGTGCCGAAAATAAAAACTTCCGACGCTAGTGCAGAAGAGAATTTTTTCCCACTTGTTTTAAAAAATATCCTTTTCCTATCATGATATAAGCCAAATATCACGAATCTAGAACCCAGATTACGCCCCGATCGTCCTGAACACATTCAAATCAAAGAGGTGTTTGGGCATATTATTTAAAATATATCAAAAGATTGATTTTCTCCCTTGTATTTGAAATGTACACTTTTTTCTAGAATTTACCTCGTACCACAAGGACATTAACGATTAACAATGGTAATAGGACTGTATCAAGGCAATCTAGGAGAAATACTAATTTCAACGCCTGGTATAGGAAGCAGTTACTTATCCCACTAGTGTGGAAATATACACTTTCTTCTTTTGTTTGCAAGAGACAATTTTCTCACAAGTGCGAAAAAGAAGAATTTTTCTCACTAGTGCGAAAAAGAGAAATTTTTCTCGCTAGTGCAAAAAAATGAAATTTTCTCACTGGTGCAGCAAATAGTAGCTTTTGACGCTAGTTCAGAAGAGTATTTTTTGCACTTCCTCCACGAAAAATGTTGAAGCCAAACTTGGCCTTAGTTAGGCGACGCTAGCAAATTCGTCTATACTATCGGAATATGCTTTAGTATATATTCCAAATTTATATATCTAGTTGCTTGACTATCTAAGAATATTCTTCTTTCTAAAGCAGGAAAATCACTAACTTAGATATTCTGACTTTTAAATAATACAAATATTTCTGGCCCTGATGCGACATTCCTTCTTGCATAAAAACATCTAAGAATAACGAATATATTCTGCATTACCGATCTCTACCCTCCGCTACTCGACAAAAAGTACTTCACCTTGTCGCTCATAGATACCACCACCTACTGAATAGTATCCCTGACTGCATTGCTCTCATAAGGATGGTTTATCTTGTTAATGTAAATAATCTAGGGTCTCACTCACTATTGCCCCACCCTGCTGGCAATATGAAGTTGATTCTCACCTTTAGTGCTGGGCAAACTCTTCAAATCCTGCTCGATCTTCTCGCTGGCCAAAGCCAGAGCGTCCTGGAACAACTTCAAGTCGTACTCGTGGACGAAATGCCTCAAATCCGGCTGGTGGGCTTTATTGCCGACGATGGGCTTCACGTCCTCGATCGGCTCACTCTTGAACTTCGACCTCATGTCCTTGATTTTCTGCAGGAATTGCTTCTGGTCAGCGTTCGCATGCGGCCTCGGGGTTTTCCTGTGGAACTCCAAAGACTTCTTCCTCAACTCCTCTCTCTTCTTCCTCTCTTCCATCTCTAGCTTGCACTTTTCTGGCGTGGTGTTGTGGTAAATGGGGCAAGCTTCGAGGGTAAAATGCTTGTCGTAGTTACCGCTCAAGTGGCCTGTGCTTGAGCACTCTTCCAAGGGGCATTTGCGTTCCTCTACTGTTTGATTGTCTGCGTTCTTGCTCTTCGCTTCATTGCGTTTGGTGTTTTTCGTCTTGCCCTTAGTAGCAACTGGGGCTTTTTTCACTGGGGAAGTGGACAAGGATCGTTTGGTGCTCTCGGTATCAGAATCGCTGTCGGAGTAAACGTTTTTGCCGAGAACGTGCTTGGATTTGCGCGTGCTAGCCGACCTTGTTAATTTCCTAGTACTAGCGACTTGTTTGTTAGTTTTTTCCGCGACTGTTTCGTTTTCTGAGTCGGTGTTCGGGGCGATTTCTTTTTGGACCACGCTCGGTTTTTTCACGGGTTTTTTGACTTTTTGGGTGTTGCCTGAGGATCGGGCGCTGCTTTCGCTTTCCGAGCAACTGCTCGAACTGGAAGATGATGACTCTGAAGTGGCTGATGATTCTGGAAAAGCGGATCAGTCAGTCAGTCAGTGATTATTTTTTAGTGGGTACGTGAAGGTTTTGAGGACAAGTGCAATGGGTGAATCATACCCAGATAACACCAACCATCGGCCCAGCATTTTTAAGGCACACATCTCCCGCCAGTTCATGTACTTTCCCGGCATCGAGGTGTCCAGGCTGCCGTCAGCCGGCCGTAATACACATTACCGGAGATTAAATTATTGACTTAGAAGTGCTACAGCGGCAACTAATTTCAAGGAACCATTGATAGGAGCGCTCAGCCACCATAGACCAGTGCTGAAGCCTTTGAAAACGGTAAAATGTGAAGAAAAATCATAGTAGGATGACACTCATTGATGATGAAAGAGAATATATTGAAGATAAAGGGAAAATGAATTACGCGATCTGAGGTCAGGAAGGGGGTGAGTTTTCAAGGGTAAAAAACGGTTTATCTTGATTTCCAGCAAAATTACGAGCCCTATGGAAAAAAGTTGAATAGCAATAAAGTTGTAGGTAATAAAGAGACCTACGACTTTTGTAAACACACTTTTTTTACATAACCTCAAAATTTAGGTGAAAAATTCTAAAAATAAAGTTTTTGGTTTTTTATTTTTAAATTCTGCAAAAAAAATTTCATTTTCACGAAAGGTCAAAACATATCTTTTTTTGTCCTGAAGACACTGTAATTTTTTTGATTCTAAATATTCATTTTTTTCACCTTATATTGACTTAATATCGAAAAAACACCCTAATTTTCAATCGAAAATTCTCACGTCAAAATATCAGCTTTTCAAAAAAACTAGGGGCGTTATTTGTTCGTTGAAATCTCTTCTCCCTGATAATGTAAGAAAATATACAGGGTGTTATTTAAGTACGTGGCCAAACTTGAAGGGGTGATTCTTTGAGTGATTCTAAGACGAAAAGTTCATATAAACATAGGTCTGGTAATGCTTCGTTTTCAAGATACAGGGTGTCAAAATTTTTAAAAGAAATCGTTTTTTTCGTAAATATCTTGATAACCCTTCAACTGATTCCATTGAAATTTGGCAGTCTTATTCAAGGTCGTAAAGGGCTAATTTAACCCTAACTATATCAAAATTATCATGTCCAGTGGCGCCCCGGAAGGTACTGTAACCAATATTTATGACAGAAAAAATGTGCGCCACTGATTTTTTTGCAATTTTTGTATTTGTTTCACATTGAGCAACTAAAATCACAACTTTTTCATGTCTAGAATTTTTTTCGTATCTTGCTTTGTTTTTGAGAAAAAACATAAAAATCACTTCATTGCACATCCCTGTGACAACACAATAAAACATTTCGACTACCAAACCATCAAAAACTGGGGTCTTACTAATATTTTTGATATAGTTAGGGTTGAATTAGCCCTTTACGACCTTGAATAACACTGCCTTTCAATAAAATCGGTTGAAGGGTTATTAAGATATTTACGAAAAAACGATTTCTTTTAAAAATTTTGACACCCTGTATCTTGAAAACGAAGCATTACCGGACCTATGTTTATATGAACTTTTCGTCTTAGAATCACCCAAAGAATCACCCCTTCAAGTTTGGCCACGTACTTAAATAACACCCTGTATACATATCTATGGTAAATGTTCTCAGAAAATGCAGAGAAAAGAAAAAACTCGAACCTGAATTTATTTTTGATCACTATTTACAATTTCGAACTATTTTGTGAAATTTTCACTTTCATTACTTTTAAAATCGTAGGATTCAATGTTACATTGATAAACAAAAAAATTACAAATCCATAAATCATAAAGATTGCAAGAAACATGCGAAAATAGTTGTTCCTAATATTAAAGATACGATTAAAAGGAGGGATTTCAATAAAAAATGTGATTGCTGCAATTTTTTTTTGTCAAAAAGTTGATTTATCAAATTATAATTACATTTATGTCATGAAAAGTCTCATAATATATGAATATAGAAATGTAAATCGTACTATTGAATTTAGATACTTCATACTGATCATTATTATTCATAATTATATTTTTAAATGCATGTATCTTCTTATTTGTTAATCTCATCTTGAACCCTAATCGATAATTCATTACTCTTTGCCTATTCGGTGGCATTTCTTCATCGTTAGATTCGACAAACCTTCCCGATTCTAGTAGATCTTTGAAATCTTCAAGACCATCACCGTCTTCGTATCCAATATTATTTTTAGTCTTAATTGGTCCTTCATCCACAATTGTATCTAAATCACTAACTTCCTTCAAATCCTATCTTTAATATTATTTAGAACAATTATTTTCGCATGTTCCTTGCAATCTTTATGTAATTAAAGTGTAAATTTCACTAAATAGCTCAAAATTGTACATTTTTTGAATTGACTCGGCCGTTATTTGATGGAAATCCATGGCAAATGTAAAAACTACACAAACGATAGGATTTCCACAAAATTTTGTGGAAATCTTATCGTTTGTGAAGTTTTTACAAAATTGTATACAGTGTGTCCCACTTACCATGCTCACCATGGGTATCTTTTTAACGGTGAGAGATACGAGGTCGGTTAGATGACACCAAATGTGGAGTTTGTCAAGGCCAACTATAATGTGAAAAAATATTTCGATTAAATCTATTCGTTTTTGTTTTATACGCAAAAAACAGATTTTGATAATTTTGATGTCTCCTCCGTAACTTCATTATTTATGAAAATATTCAAATGGGAATTTCACATTCTCATGGCAGTTTTTCAAAGTGATTTCGAGAAAAATTTGAAATTCATACCAACTCTTCTAGAATTTGAGATATCAGCACCAACTTATGTTTTTCAAATGTAAGTCATAGCTCACTATGACTTAGTTACAAATAACTTTTTTTTCTCTCACAGATGATATGTCGCAGTAATAGTTTTGTGTTGATAACAACGGAGTTATCGTCATCTATACAAAATAAAAGATTATTTGGGAGCCACCATCTTGAACTCGATCTTGAATTTATAAATTTTAACAAAAAAATCATGATCTGTGACCTCAAGAACCCCCACTTACCAATTTTGAACGGAATCGGACCAAATCTTGTCCGCCATCTTGTAGCAGCCATTTTTTTTAATTGATGGCGGACAAGATTTGGTCCGATTCCATTCAAAATTGGTAAGTGGGGGTTTTTGAGGTCGGAGATCATGATTTTCTTGTTAAAATTTATAAATTCAAGATGGCGGCTTCCAAATATTTTTTTGTTTTTGTATAAATGACGATAACTCCGTTGTTATCAACACGAAACTATTACTGCGACATATCATCTGTAAGACAAAAAAAAGTTATTTGTAACTAAGTCATAGTGAGCTATGACCTACATTTGAAAAACTAAAGTTGGTGCTGATATCTCAAATTCTAGAAGAGTTGGTATAAATTCCATATGCTTTTCGAATTTACTTTGAAAAACTGCCATGAGAATGTGAAATTCCTATTTGAATATTTTTATAAATAAAGAAGTTACGGAGAAGACATGAAAATGATCAAAATCTGTTTTTTGCGTATAAAACAAAAACGAATAGATTTTATCAAAATATTTTTTCACATTATAGTTGGCCTTGACAAACTCCACATTTGGTGTCATTCAACCGACCTCGTATCTCTCACCGTTAAAAAGATACCCATGGTGAGCATGGTAAGTGGGACACACTGTATAGTGATTAAAAAAAATTCGGATTCGAGTTTTTTTCTTTTCCATGCTTTTCTGAGAACATTTACTATAGTGATGTGTATATTTTTTTACATTACCAGAAAGAAGAGATTTCAACGAACAAAAAACGCCCCCAGTTTTTTTTAAAAAGCTGATATTTTGACGTGAGAGTTTTCGATTGAAAATTAGGGTGTTTTTCCGATATTAAGTCAAAATAAGGTGAAAAAATTAATATTTCAAATCAAAAAAATTACAGTGTCTTCAGGACATGAAAAGGTAGTGGAAACGTATCATGTGTTTCCAGAAGGAAGAAAAAAACTGTGAATGTGTTTTTTCATTTTTTTCTACTGTCAACAATAAAACAGTTACAGAGGGAGTGTTACGAGTGGTGTTACTTAATAACGTGTCACCCGCTATACCCAATTCTTTTTCACTTTCCCCATAGCGTCTAGCGTCACATGTTTAGTCATAGATAATAAACTTGCTCGAAAATTTATCGTTAAACAAAGACATAACTGATTAGTCATTAGGGTGAATCGGGTGAATCAAGCAATATATCAGTCACATACCAGATTTCGTCGTGTACGGTCGATTGAAGTGGTTCATAAAAGAACTCTTATTCAATTCATGATGAGTGAGAAATCAGAATTTATTTTTCAGTTTAGTGATTATAATGCAATTGTGTGTGTGTGTGTGAAGTTATGGATTGTGTGTGAGGTGATTTGTTATGCAACAATGTAGTTTCTTGCCATTGGACATACCCGTTGTCGTTTTTTTTCAAGATGGTAAGTGTTTTTTTAATATACATAGACAGGGTGTTTAGAAAAACCTAACCCCCTTGCTAGGGTAGGTAGAACATTGAAAAATAAGTTGGGTTTGCTCAGTGAAAAAATGTCGTAGGGCATCCGTTTTCATGATACAAGGTGTTGAAAAAATTATTGTTTCACACATTTTTCACGATTATTCCGAAACTACTGGCAACATTGTAATGAAATTTTGCATGGCTGTTTCTTGAAATCTGACACATCGCATGAATTTTTTTTATATCTGACTCTCATAGAGGGCGCTAGCTACACGGTTCGTACCGAGTAGTTTGGAACATAACTTTTTTGAGGTTAGATTTTTCAATCCAAATATGATATGAACTTGAACAGCATTCAATTTTACACCAAAAAGGTACTCCTGGTGAAACTCGATACTATGTTCCGTTTTCGAAATATTTCGATTTGAAAATAATGGAGTACTAATGATGCTGGTATAAAATGAAGTTTATTGAGTTCAATTACCTATTTATTCAGGTTCAAGAACAATAAAATTATTTTTGTGCTGAAGTTATTGATGGAA